ATAATTTCAGATCATCGACATGCATTGACAGAAATGTTATACCTCCGCGGATTACGGTGATTGCGAGTGTTTGTGGTTCAACGGAAGGCTTCCTCAGGCGTGCAATACTACCCGCACTAGGTATTGGGTAGAAAGTCAAGGTAGAACAGAGATATGGTATGAGAATACGAAAAGTATGTGATCAGGGCTTTTGAGCATATAGATTAGATTGGACTTCCTGATTGGGGAATTCGAGATCACTTTCACAACCATCAGCTTTGTATTTTGTTTGCCCTCAATAGTCTTGACCACCGAGGACGCAGTAAATGAAAGAGGTTAATCCGAGAGCATCAATCCAATTGACGGGGCAAAAGATAATGAGTGCTACAGCTGTGTCCTCAACGCTGGCGCTCACGCGCACCTGGTCTCTTTCTACTCTGATCCAATCTACTTTGTACTCTGCACTTTTATTTGAAAGTTGCACTTGAGTTCACACTCTCCAATTTACTCCTTACCCACCCACTAGTCAACCAACTGGGTAGATTAAAGATAGCGAGAAACAGTGTCGCACGATTGTGCAAGGTTATTATTGGTTGTGAAAACGCAAACTGTGCAAGAAACAGAGACACCACAATGTCTTCTACAGCTCTTTTCATAACGACAATATTTCCATTTTAGTTGATTTTGTGCAACTCTTGTATCTTATGTGAAAATTTTGTTCCGGGTGGAGAGAAAAAAATCTGAATAGATTCTGAAATCTGCATTCTCTGTATCAAAACGGGTAACTATTCTGCTAGAATAAATGCAAACATGGAGTCAACGATAACTAATAATATAATATAGGTTCGCCAAAACAGATCTCAAGTAATAAAAATAAGTCAATTTGGTGCTTAGAAGTGGATATGGGGTAAAAAGTCGGACCGGGTCAATCTCAGATGAGGAGCTATGACGAAGATCCTTTTGGACTCTCGAACCCCGAGTCCCAAGATGCCTTAGGGGAAGATGTATAAGTTTTTGCCTCATCCTCGTGAGACAACTGCTCCTCGTGATCCTCAGCATCCGGCGGATTGTGGTAAAGACAAATGGATCGGGCCACAACGCATTGAAGCCAAACCTTGTTCGCAAGATCCATCGGATATGAGCCCAAATTGCCGTGAATGCAAACGCGATCGCCCTTGTTCAACTGGAGAGCCTTTTTGATCAGCTCAGAGTTGAATACTTGGATTCTGGAGCCAAATGAGGAAACGGGTGATTTGGTTACAATTTCTGAAGCACCCGAAGCTACACAGATTGCAATAAACGAACGGACAGACAAAATTGTGTGTGTGTGTGTGTGTGTGTATACACCAATATTTCTGCGACCCCATAATAATCATCTCAAAGGGTCGCATCGAGGTCGCAGTTTCATTACTGCTGGGTTTTAAGTTTAATTTTTAGTTACTGGTCATATCCTTTCTACTCTTTTATTGCATGCATTTTCGTGTGAAGAACAGTAGACGGTTTTTTATTACAGAACTAAGTGTGATGAACAGCAGACGGGGCGAACCTCATAGTCATGAGAACCTGTTGTTCTGTGGTGGAAACCGGCAACCTAAGCCCCGGGACTTGCAGTGGTGAACCACATAAGGCCTCGGTAGGTTGGGCGTGACATTGAACCGGACGACAGCAGAGCTACCTACCACCAAAGTCGGGTGACAGTGGCG